ATTAATTATTGTTTTATTATTATTATTATTTATTGCTATTTTTGACTTTTTAGTTAAAAATGCACTTTTTCTTTGCAACATTTTGCTCAAGCAAGCCGAGAAATCTCCTTCTTATTATTATTATTTTGAGTAAAAATCTTATTTTTTGTTGATCAAAACATACCAAAAAATTAATTAGGCAAAAAATTATATCATTTCCATCTATTTTCAAGCGAATAAAAACGTTTTCGAGCCAAACAAAATTTTGCTAAAATCAGGGGTCGAAAACGAAATTATTTTTGTCTTTTCCAAGTAAAATTTCACCCAAATGGGCCAAAAAATTAGCAAATTAAGTTGAAAATGGTATATTTTTTTAAACTGGGGGTTAGGATAAAAAGTACTTAACTATTTTGACTGAAGTTTCTTGTCATTTTCAACAACAAAATTCTAAATTCCATAGGTTTTTACAAAAAAGAGGTCGCTTCGATTTTTTCAATACAACTTACCTTTTTTGAGTAAACTCTTTGTAATATTTATGTTACACTTTTGTGGTGTTTTTTACCGAAAAAAAATTGGTTAAATTTGATCGAAAATCATACTATTTTTGCTTTTTTAAACGTTTTAGCATGTTTTTAAGATAAAAACTCATATTTTGAATATGACTTCATCGAGACAAGATAAAAAATCACGAAATGAAATCAAAAATGATGTTATTTTTCACTTTCTCAAGCGTTTAAGAAAGTTCTTCAGTCAGAAATGCAATTTTTTGCAAAATTTTGTCCAAACCAGTTGAAAAAACGATAACAATTGTGCTATTTTTGCTTTTTTAATCAGTTAAATACATTTTTTGAGCTAATAAACTGAGTTTTTTTCGCTAAAACAGATCAAATTAGACCGAAAATGATAATATTTTCGCCGTTTAAATTATTTTTGAACCTTCTTAATATGAAATTTTGCTCAAAAAGGCCCAGATAGAAAATTATACTGTTTTTGATATTTTCAAAAGTAGAAGCATGTTTTTCAGCAAAAACTTCTTTTTTTCGCAAAATTTCGCTAAAATAGACCACAAATTCACTAAACTAAATTAAATTATATACCGTTCCATTTTGGTTTGTTTCACTGGATTTAGTTTGGTGACCTAAAACCAACTTTTTAAAAAAAAATTCATTCTCAAGCAAAAAACTACCAAGTAAGTGCACCTTTTAAAGCGTTTAACATGTTTTTGAGTTAAAATCTGTTTTTTTTTAAATTGTGCAAAATTTTTGCAAAAAATGACCAAATTTAGTCGAAAATAACATTATTTTTGACTTTTTCTGTTAAAAATGCACTTTTTCTTTGCAACATTTTGCTCAAGCAAGCCGAGAAATCTCCTAATTAGATAGAAAATGGTATTTATTGTCTATTTTTGAGTAAAAATCTTATTTTTTGTTGATCAAAGCATGCCAAAAAATTAAATTATTTCCATCTATTTTCAAGCAAATAAAAACGTTTTCGAGCCAAACAAAATTTTTCTAAAATTAGGGGTCGAAAACGAAATTATTTTTGCCTTTTCCAAGTAAAATTTCACCCAAATGGGCCAAAAAATTAGCAAATTAAGTTGAAAATGGTATATTTTTTTAAACTGGGGGTTAGGATAAAAAGAAGTTTCTTGCCACTTTCAGCAACAAAATTCTAAATTCCATAGTTTTTCACAAAAAAGGGCTTTTTTGTGTTTTTTCGATACAACCCCTTTCAGAGGATGTAGCTCCTTTACAAAACATTTTTTGATTCACGTTTATAGGAAACTTAAAATTGAATATTCTAGCACCTGGTAACAAACCTGGTATAGTCAATTTTTGACAAATTAATTGGCAACAGTCAATGTTGCCAACTTAATTTCAAAGTAAAAAAAAATGCCATTTTAGCGCCAGTGCCTCTTTGATGAGGAACGAGTGACCACATTCGAGGGAATTTATTCCCAAAGCGACTGTAATGTCGATTGTCGAATTGCCAGTGCTTTGGCTTTGTGTCAATGTCTCCCATTTACTATTCCTTTGGATGGTGACGAATCGGTTTGTACTTTTCAGGATTTGCAATGTTTGAATCAGTACAAAAGTAAGTGGAGGGGTGTGAAACCAAATTTTCAGTTTTTGCTTAGATAAATGGAACACCCTATATCCTGAAACCGACAATTTTGGGCTTTTACAACACGAACAACATGATTCGTTACGTTGCCAACAAAGATGTTATCCTTCGTGTGATGCCACGTTGTTTGAGGTTTTGCCAGATAGTTCACCTGTTCACAAGTGATTTGGTAACCCAAATTTTGTGTTTTTCTCAACTTATTTATTTCTAGTATGGGGAATTATTCAATTATTCATATTTATTATGCGAATCGGTTCTCAAAACTGTTCAAACACGATGTTGTTTACTACTGGTTTGAAATTTTAAGTGCGTAGAAATTGGATTTAATTTGAATTAAGTTGGAAGTTTTAGGCAATTTTGGGGGAACTTTTGGAATCATTGTTGGATTTAGTGTGATTTCTGTCACTGAATGCTTGGTTTTCATGTTTCAATTCACAAAAAAGAAATGCTTTGCATAATGAATGACACTTATTTATAGGTACAAATAATGTCTTGCTGTCTTATTTATAAAGTTTTTATTCGTTTTCTTATTAATTTAGAAAATAAACAATTTTTTTTCTCTTGTAATTGTTTTTTCTTTTCCTTTTCAATCTATGTCTGTCAAATTTAAAAATTGAAACACTAAGATTTTGCAAAAATTGAATCATGCAAATATCGGTCAAAAGTCACGTATGTGATTTTTTTCAAAAATAAATTTTTAGTGCTTATCGTAACAAATACTTACTGTTCTATGCAAAAACTGGTCACAAATATGAAATTTTTGATCAGTCTTATGTAAAAAAAACTAATTTTAAGAAGCTTTAATATTATTATATTGTTTATTATAAAACGGAACTACAGGGTGGTCCCGAAAATCTGGAAACGATTTTTTTCTGACATAACTATTAATTTTTTTGGCAAATAAATTTATAGGTGTGCAATGGCTATAAAAATGCTATCCAAAAAAAATGAATATCAATTAATTGTTTAATAAACAGTAATTTTTTTAATAGAAACCTACCACATTTTTTTTCTGGACAAAAGTTCAAACAATTAATTAAAATAAAAAATATTTTGTCATCGCTTCTTTACAATCTTTAAACATTTACTAATTTATTTCCAAAAAAACTGGTAGTTTACTCAAACAAATTCGTTAATATTGGTAAGTCAAACATTTTTTTTAAGAAAAAGTGTTAGGTTTACAAAAAAAAATTTGCACGGCAACAATTCTTGTAACAAGCTCGTTGTCTATAAAAAAATTGTGGTAGGTTTCCTTAAAAAAAAATTCTATGTTTATCTCATAAGTATAAACAATTAATTGATATTTATTTTAATTAATTGTTTGAACTTTTGTCTAGAAAAAAAGGTGGTAGGTTTTTACTATGTTTATCTCGTAAGTATAAAAAATTAATTGATATTCAAAATTTTTTTGAATAGCATTTATATAACCATTGCACACCTATAAATTTATTTGCCAAAAAATTGATAGTTTCGTTGGAAAAAAAACTCGTTTCTAGATTTCTGGACCACTCTGTATGTATGTATGCACAGTGAACGGCAAAATTATGGAATAATCTTATTAAAACTGAAAATATTTTGTTTTAGCAAAAATGCTCAAACAGGTCAATTTTCTTTTTACAAAATAGACAATTTTCAACTTTATTTAAAATTTTACACTTTTTGGTTTTTGAGTAATGACGCCATCGACATTTTTTTTCATGGATACCCCTAATTTTTTTTAGTCAGTGTGATAAATCTTTTAATTATCGAAATGACAAAACCAAAATATTAAATATTACATTACATTTTCGAAAAAAAAATCACCAAAAAAGTTAAATAATATCGACAAAAAACATACAGTTTTCAATCAAGTTGAAAATTTTGTATTTTCCAAAAAGAAAATTGACCTCTTCGAGCATTTTTGTCAAAACAAAATATCTTCAGGTTTAATAAATAAGTTATTATTATTCCGTAATTTTGCTCACTGTATATTTAAAAAAATACATAGTTGCCTACCACTGTTTTTTATTAATGAATATTTACACTGTCACTTGAAAAAATCTTGTATGTGGGACTAATGAATCTGATTAATGTAACACTGCCAATTATTGATTTCCCAATTATTTGCTTCCGGTGTCGCAAGGAAATTCATAAATATTTTATTTCATCGAAGTTTAATCAAATTTTTATCCCAGTAAACTGCACCTCAATGGAAAATAAGGGTCTTTTCCACAGGTGGGTGCAAATTCGTTACTTTTCTCTAATTAGCGCCCCAATTCCAGAGTTTTGTGGTCTTGCATTCACATCGTCTTAATTATTTACACGATTTACATGGTGGTCACATTGTGGGAGAAATTTCTAATCCACCCAACAGTCACCACTTTAGTCAGCTCCACATATCCTGTTCACCAAGTCCCATTTCCGGCAGTCTCAATTTGCAGTATAAACAAAATCAGCAAGAAACGGGCCCAAAATTTGGCGGTTACAATGTTGAAATTTCCATAAATACAAATCCGGCACTCAAAATGTGATTTTTCAGAGCGAATCAAACCAGGAAAAGTCCTGATGAAATCATGTCTTTTTTGCATTTCATTGGCCAATTGTACGATTTTGATTTTCAACCAAACACAGTGACTGAACTTCTCCTTTTTCAAAATATTCTCGATTCTTTGCAAATCAAAATTGATGATTTGGCCCGACAAATGGCCACTCCTTGTGAAGACTTGTTGGCTAGTTGTTGGTGGAGGAATGTTGAAGTCGATTGCTCCACCATTTTTTACCAAAGATTGACCTACGACGGCTTTTGTTGCGTTTTCAACTACATTAAAATCACCAAAGAATTGACGTGAGTCTTGGCTGCTTTAATTCAGTTCAAGGGGACGTTAACTTGAAAAAAAGTATACAACTAATTCCAATTCCAGAAAAATTACACCGAAATTCCAGTAATTCCAAAAAAAATCCAGTAATTCCGATAATCCAGCGTAATTCCATTTTTTCTCAGATTAATTCCTATAATTCCAAATTAATTCCTGTAATTCTAAATTAATTCCTGTAGTTTCAACTTAATTCCTGTAGTTCCAACTTAATTCCTGTAATTCCAACTTAATTAAAAAATTTAAAATTATACCGAAACTCCAAAAAATTCCACCAAAATTCCAGTAATTCCAAAAAAATTCCAGTAATTCCGATAATCCATCGTAATTCCATTTTTTTTTCAGATTAATTCCTGTAATTCTAAATTAATTCATGTGGTTCCAACTTAATTCCTGTACTTCCAACTTAATTCCTGTACTTCCAACTTAATTCCTGTAATTCCAACTTAATTAAAAATTTTAAAATTATACCGAAACTCCAAAAAATTCCACCAAAATTCCAGTAATTCCAAAAAAATTCCAGTAATTCCGATAATCCAGCGTAATTCCATTTTTTCTCAGATTAATTCCTATAAATCCTAATTTTTCTGTAATTCTAAATTAATTCCTGTAGTTCCAACTTAATTCCTGTAGTTCCAACTTAATTCCTGTAGTTCCAAC